GGCGTGGCCTGGTGTAATGTGGAGTGATTTGTGTGGTGTGGTGTGTGGTGCTTGATGTGGTGTGGTATGGTGTGGTGTGATGTGGTGTGGTATGGTGTGGTGTGATGTGGTGTGTGATGTTTGGTCTTGTGAAATTAGCATTCGCTGATGCTAAAAAGCTTGTTGATTCAACAGTTCCAAATGATTCATATGCATCAGTCGTCAGGACACCCTCCGAAAGCTTGTCAAAGGTAAATTCGGCAGTATCCAGCATTTCAATAGAGTGTCAAACAGACTTGACTTGGGTTACAAACGATACCCCTCACCTTCTTACACCTGAACAGTCTAGTCAGACTTCAGAGTCGGTGCAAACCAAAGTTCAGGATGAAGTACAATTATTGTCCATTCAGAAGACTCGATCTGACACAATTTCAAAGAAAGTGGTCAAAAATACAGTTAAACCTAGGACGGAAAGTGTGAAAAAAGTGGTAGTCCCTCTAAGGGTTCAGAAAACCGTATACAATTATGTAACAAATATGGTTCACTCGAGGACATGGATGTGTCAGAAAACGTCCATCCCAGGACACATAGCTTGTCGCCCTCGAAGAAAGTGAGGGGTAGGGCCTCTATCAATCCACCTAAAAGATAGGTCATTTTACTAATATCGTGCAGTGGAATTGTAGAGGTCGGAGGACTAATTTTAATGAACTACAGCTATTAGTCCAGGATTTAACGCTATCAGCATTCTGTCTACAAGAAACGCATCTGAAACAGACGATAATGTTACTTTACGCCAGTTTACAGCCGATCATCATTGCTCTCCTCTGGATGATAGGGCCACTGGAGGATCTTCTATCCTTATACGGCGGGAGGTTATTCGCAGCCCTGTTGCAATTGAGGCTAAACTCCAAGCTGTTGCAGTGCGACTTACTCTGGGTGTAGCATTTACATTATGCTCTGTATATATTCCGCCTTCATGGGTGATTCAGCAAACTGATCTACAGTCACTCTATGATCAACTCCCGAAACCCTGTGTTATTATGGGTGACCTAAATGGTCATAACCCCCTCTGGGGTAGTAACAACACTAATACTAAAGGTAAAATACTGGTAGATTTTATTTCCAATAATGACCTATGTATATACAATGATGATTCAAGCACTTACCTGCATCCTGCTACCGGAACCTATTCTTCTCTAGATCTGTCTCTTGCAGACTCTAACCTAAATGAATTTGATTGGTCTGTCCATAGTGACCTCTGTGGAAGTGAGGACTTCCAAACTATTCTTTCAGAAATAACTCCATCTGATTCTCCATCATATACAAGATGGAACTTTTCGAAGGCTAACTGGTCCTTATTTCAAACTATATGTGTATACCGAAATCCTCTACAACTCCACACGTACGGAAACCATAATTTAATACAGAATGTAGACAAGCCAGAAAATTTCCGCCACCATCCAACTGTCCATAATTTAAATAATTCAAAATACTCAATGCCAAGGCACGTCGTATCTTCAAACAAAACAAACGATAATCTCGGAGGAAATATGTCTCAAACTTAATTCACGCACGCCCATGTCTAAGGTCTAATGTGCTGGTCACCATCTTAAAGATGGGGATAACTTAAAAACTGACAAATCTAAAATTGCAAATAAACTTGGCGAAACTCTTGCCAAAAACTCTTCGTCGACAAATTATGTCCCCGCGTTTCAGAGATATCAAAAACAACAGGAAAAGACTAAACTTAATTTCGAATCAGATAACGGTGAAGATTATAATGAAGTGATTTCATTACATGAGCTACATACAGCTCTTGAGCAAGCTCATGACACTGCAGCGGGAGATGACAATATACATTATAAGCTCCTGAAACACTTGCCTGAACCATGTCTGATGACACTTTTAGATATATTTGGCCAAATATGGACGTCTGGACATTTCCCTCCTTCGTGGCGTTATGCCATTGTAATCCCAGTTCCAAAACCTGGCAGGGATCCATCGAGTTACAGACCTATATCTCTAACCAGCTGTGTCTGTAAAACCATGGAACAAATGGTAAACAATAGATTAACTTGGTATCTTGAAACCAATAACTTTATAACAAATATCCAATGTGGTTTCAGGAAAGATCGTAGTATCTTTGATCATTTGGTATGTTTAGAATCCTTTGTTAAAAATGCTATAGTAAATGAACAACATGCTTTTGATCTTGAGAAAGCTTATGATACGACCTAGATAAATGGCATTTTGAAGGGATTTACATGATTTTGGTTTGAGAGGCCGTTTGTCTCTTTCTATATCACAGTTTTTAAAAGACAGGCAATTTCAAGTCCGAGTGGGTTCTACCCTGTCTGATCAGTACAATCAGGATCAGGGTGACCTCAAGGCAGTATTTTGTCCGTCACTTTATTTAGTATCAAGATCAACAGTTTATCCAAGGTTTTAAACGATTCATTTAATGGATCACTTTTTGTGGATGATTTTAATATTTCTTGTCGTGGTAAGAATATGCATACTATTGAACGGCAATTGCAGTTGTGTTTAAATAAAATAAATACATGGTGTCTTGAAAACGGCTTTAAATTTCCCAAGTCCAAAACTAATTGTCTACATTTATGTAGAAAATATAAGCCGCATAAAGACCCTGAACTATCTTTAAATGGCACTCCGATCAAAGTTGTAACGGAGGCCAAGTTCTTGGGTCTAATTTTCGAATCCTATTTAACTTTTATGCTTAAAGCTAAATGCCTGAAGGCCCTTGATTTGTTGAAAGTTGTTTCCAACTCAAAGTGGGGAAGGGATCATGCTACCATCCTCCACCTATATCGATCATTGGTCCGCTCGAAACTTGATTATGGCTCCATCGTATATGGTGGAGCCTGCAAAAGCAACCTAAAACTACTTGATTCTGTCCACCACCAAGGCCTAAGACTTTGTCTTGGGTCCTTTAGAACCTCTCCTATTGATAGTCTCTATGTCGAGGCTGATGAGCCATCCCTTAACCAAAGGTCGTATCAAATTATCATTACAGTATATAACAAAACTCTATTCTAACCCTGCATTTAACTGTGTTTTCAATCCTCTTTATGATGATTTATACAACAAAAAGCCTTCTCTTGTTCTGCCTCTTGGGCTCAGAATTAAATCATTCATTTCTGCTGCCGGCATTGAGCTGGAAAGTATATCTCCTTCCCGTCTCCTTTCTTCTCCTCCTTGGCAATTGGTTAGGCCACAAGTCGACCTAACACTCACTAAATTTTTAAAAATCAGAAACTAATGCCTTACAATATAAACAAGAATATTATCAATTAAAAAGTAAATATAATACATATAAACGTTTATTTACAGATGGATCCAAAACAATATCTTCCCGAATACCTAATAACAGCTCTATTGTCACAGCAGAAGCTAACGCCACATTTAAATATATTAAAAAAAACACCCTAATTTTCCGACTCTCTTTCGTGTCTTCGGGCTATCAAAACTCTTTCTTGCAAACATCCACTTTCAATAGAAATAATAGAATTATACAATTATACAGCCATGTTGGAATCTCTGGTAACACTGTGGCCGATTTTGCTGCTAAGGCAACACTCAACAAATCTGTGACACCACTTCTTATTCCATACTCGGATTACAAAGCTTCCATTAGATCGTACATCCGTGATCTGATGCAGAAGAAATAGGACACTCAAGTGGGTATTAATAAATTGCATGATAAAGCCCTTTATTTGATATACCTGCTTGGGTTGCCAGTCCAGATTTGAAGAGGTCATCATGCGACGATGTCGTATTGGCCACACAAGATATACTCATGCATTCCTATTCAAAGGTGAGAATCCACCGTTTTGTATCCCTTGTGATGAGAGAATCACGGTCAAGCATGTCCTGCTTGACTGAGTTGAATTCTCCATCATAAGGGATAAATATTTCAATATCAAAACTGTAAAGGACCTTTTTAATAAAGTTAATTATCATTTAATCATTCATTTTTTAAAAGACTTGGATTTGTTAAATGAATTTTGATATATGTTTTGTAAATAGATAAAGTTGTAGAATTGGTAGTTCACATTATCAAAGATTGTTTGTGGCTTTATCCTCAAAGGGGGTTGAAGTAGCGTAAAATTATTGTCCTCCTGAGAGGGTACGTAAGTGCTTAAAACTTTCAAAGTAAAACGTACCAGGTATTTAAACGCAGTATTTTTGTTCTTTTAAATTTCGGCTAAATTATTCTACAATCGCCAGCGGCTGACGGGATGGTGTATATCCTGCTAAGATCCATGCAAGTAGCAAAAGTAATGTAAGTCCCCATGGTTCCTAGTATGGTGATCTACCTTCAGCTGTTGGCGATCTATAGCCCGTGTTTTATATTGTACTGTCAGCTTTAATTACACCGTTTTAGCTTTACATGCTAGTTTTATGTTCACATCTGTGATACTCTCGTATTTTTACTGTCCATCGTCGACAGGTTTACTCTTCACAATGTTTTCATTTTTGTATTGTATAAATTGTTTTCGTCACGATATGGCTGAGATATTGCCGATGTGAAGTTAAATATTAACTCACTCACTCACTCACTCGATCTATCAACGGCATTTCATACAGCTATGATGTTCAAGAGACTGGAACCAGAGTACAGGAATCATCGGTACTGCTCTCTCGTGAATTACGTTTTTCTCCCTTAACAGTACATTACCCTGATTTTCGGTGAATACGTTATTCGATTCTCCGAACTAAGTGAATCCTTTTTCATACTGTAATCGACTCGAGTTGATACGTTATTAAAGGACACTCTGGTGCGAATCATCATCTATCCATGGGTGGTCAGGATTCTAATCCCTGAATGTTGATTTGCCTTTTCATTTCCCTACCCAACATGGGTTGGTCTTGGATGGAGATGTTTGATGTCTGTGTCACTGTGACCCTAACTGATATGAACTTTATTCACTGCATAGAAACTTTGTATAGACTGCCTTTCTAACATGTATACAAAGAGAATTTTGCTCGCGTGTTTCACTTGATTCACTTCCTGGTCGCCTTGACATAGATTGTTGTACAGACAGGTAGCTGTAAGCTGTTGGTTTAGGAGGTGAGTAGGAATATAGTTGTGCTGTCATCCCTTGTGTGTATGTAAGTGGAAGAACCCCATGTGAACCTCACATATTAGTATCGACGGTAAATCCTATGTCATGATGAAATCATGTTACTATCGTAAAATATTATTTTCCAATGAGCACACATCGTTACCCGTGCTGTCCCATATTGTGTTTTATGAACTAGACTAAATCTCAGTCTTAGCCAGGGTGATCCAGACAGATGTCAGGAAGGATGGTTCGGTTCCTACTGTCAGAAACGTGAGTATAAAATAATGATTATCAATAATAGCATGACCATGTGTCACAAATATTGGTCTTCAGCAACCTATTCTTGTCGTAAGAGGTGACTTACGGGATCGGGTGGTCAGGCTCGCTGACTTGATTGACATATGTCATCGTATGCCATTTGCGTAGATTGATGCGCATGATGTTGATAACTGGATTATCTGGGTGAGTGAGTTTAGTTTTACGCCGCACTCAGCAATATTCCAGCTTTATGGCGGCGGTCTGTAAATAATCGAGTCTGGACCAGACAATCCAGTGATCAACAGCATGAGCATCGATCTGCGCAATTGGGAACCAATGACATGTGTCAACCAAGTCAGCGAGCCTGACCACCCGATCCCGTTAGTCGCCTCTTACGACAAGCATGTGTTACTGAAGATCAGTTAACCCCCTAATGTGTACATCAGGTTACACAGTATGCACTTCTTCCTATCACCATTCCACATAAACTTGGCTATCTTAAGCATTGTGTTATGGAATAGTACCCTTGCGTTTCTGTTTCTCTGTTGCCCTCTGTTTCTAAAGGCATATGAATCAGAATTTCTGCTTGGGTTGGCAAAATCAAAACAAGGTAATCTGGCCAAGAAGTTTAAGTTATCCTTCACATACATCCATGATATAATATCGTTCAATAACCATCAAATCGCCAACTACCTTTCACCGATTTACCCACCTAAACTTGGAATTAAGGAGACAATTGAGACCGCCTAAACTGTTTCATATTTAGATCTATGCAAACAGATTCAGAGTGACAAAAATACTCTCCACTAGGCTGTGTGTCAAGGGGATGATTTCAACTTTCCAAAAGTCAACTTCCCTTTCACGTAGAGCAGTATTCCAACAGCTCCAGCCTTTGGTGTTTACATTTCACAACTTTTAAGGTACAATCGAACGTACTTTTTGTATCAGTATTTCAAAGACTGACTGACTGACTGAGTTTGGTTTTACGCCGCTTTTAGCAATATTCCAGCAACATCACGACGGGGGACACCAGAAATGGGCTTCACACACTGTACCCATGTGGGGATTCGAACCCGGGTCTTCGGCGTGACGAGCCAACGCTTTAACCATTAGGCTACCCCTCCGCCCCCCAGTATTTCAAAGAGCGTCATGCCACCCTTGCTCAGAAGTTGTTTGATCAATGGTACAACATGCAAGGCCTCAGTAAAGCTTTCAAGAATTTTCATGGTAGACATTCCCGAATTATTTCAGGTAAACAAATGACTACAATTAGCATGTGTTTATGACGGGTGCCGCCGGTGGGGCAGGATACGCTCACCCTTCCGCGAACACCTGGTATCATAACTATTTTACAGTGATTCATGCTCTGTCATTGTATCGCAAGGTGACAATCACTGGATTGTCTGGTGCAGACCCGATTTGTTTACAAAGATCATTATGCAGCTGTGATACTACTGAAACAAATGTACTACCAATCAATAGTTTAGACTCACTAGTGTAAATGTAACCACGTCCTTCAGTCAATTTGTTCCAAACTCTTCCATACTGATGGAAGTTGCTGTTTACACATATATGGGTGTATTGTAAAACGCATTCGTAACGTTGCAAAGATTATAAGAGTTCAATAAATGATGAAACTCAGTGACAGTTGGATAATTCTTAACAAAACTTTACACCAAAACGCAACTGTTTACATGCGCGATATTTGTACATGCTTTTCAGCAATTTGATGTATGATACTTGTGCAATTCATCTGCACTACTTTTGCAGTCCCCCCTTCCGCCCCAGTAAGTGGTGACATTCATCTTCGATGTAACCATATCTATATATTCATATTATATAGGGAGTGCTTTCGGTGAGTATAAACTTTTGATGGGTAGTATATCTGTTCATGATATAGCCACAATTATACAATCGATTCAGCTTTTGGCAGAGATTGCTCATGAATGTGGAAATCGTTTTGTCGCTTCTAGTTACAAATGATCCAGGGGATTGTGGCGCGCTGGCTTATGCTGTTGTCATTGATCTCGATTACCAGACAATAGCTCTATTTTCACAGCTGAGTCAAATGACATATTAACAGCAATTAGATATATTTAAACACTCAAAATATATACAACATATCACTTTTTCAGATTCTCTTTCCTGCCTCCCGGCTGTTATAAATTATCTTGTAAACATCCACTTTTAATCGGAATCATATAATGATCTTGCTAATGGCCAATACGACATTGCCCTCTGTTGGCTACCCAGCCACGTTGGCATTTCTGGTAACACAATGGCCGATTTTGCTGCTAAGGCAGCACTCAACAAATCTATGACATCACTTCTTATTCCACATTCAGATTATACAGCTGTGATAAGACCATATATCCGATATCTAATGCAAAAGATGTGGGACACTTAAGTAGGTGTTAATAAATGACATCTAATGATACCAACAATTGGTTACACCTACTTGGGTTGTCAGTCCAGATTTGGTCATCATGCGACGATGTCGCATTGGCCATACAAGATATACACATAGTTTGTCATATGGTATAAAATACGATCTGGAGTATCCAGACATGTATGTGTTCATAAGTTGTTTTTGTCTTAAGCTAGAGTGGAGTGCAGTGATTCAAAAACGTGTGGCGCCTGTGTTTTGGGAGACATATGCTTAACTGTGATCCTTCTATTCAGCTGAATGAATTCTTTCGAGGTGATTTTGGCAGTCACCATTTGTTACTTGTGGTACTTTCCGCACACGCATGGTGAAGACAGAATTACCTTTTATCACATCAGTAATTTGGCACCCAAAAATAACTGTAACCCCCTTTGAGGATACAGCCACTAACAATCTCACTTATCAACTTAAACTTCCAACCATAACCAAATACATCTATTTACAATACATATTAATAAAAAAATCGATTAGTTCAATTTCTTTTTGAAATTCAATAATAAACTGATAAGTAATATTACTAAAAAGAAAGAAAGATCCTTAACTGTTTTTTGCACTGACATATTTACCCCTTGTGATGGACAGTCAAGCAGGACATGCTTGGCCGGAATACTTTCATCACAAGGGATCCTCACCTTTTAGTAAATACTCGTGTGTATATCTTGAATGCCCAATACGACAATGTTGTATAAAGTCCTCCTCAAATCTTAACTGACAACCCAAGTACGTAAAACCAATATAAGGTTTTATTTCATGTAATTTATTATTACCTATTTGGGTGTCCATCTTCTTCTGCATCAGATCACGGATGTACGATGGAACGAGAAGTGGTGTCACAGACTTATTCTTGTTGAGTGCTGCCTTAGCAGCAAAATCGGCCATTGTGTCACCAGAAATGCAAACGTGGCTGGGTAACCAACAGAGAACGATGTCGTATTCGCCATTAGCAAAATCGTTATATAATTCAATAATTTCAATGAAAAGTAGATGTTTACAAGATAAGTTTATAATAGCCTGAAGGTACAAAAGCGAGTCCAAAAAGATTATATACTGTCTATATTTAGGGTGTTTTTTTAATATATTTAAGCGATGTTAATTTGCCTCGGCTGGAAAAATAGAGCTATCGTTTGATAATCTAGAAGATATTATTCTGGATCCAATGACAGTTTAAAAGATATCAAATGGTGACGGTTTAAGAGTTGATGAGCATTTAAAAACAGCATACAGCAAATTTTACACGTTATGAAAATGAGAACGGTTTACTTAGTGTGTTGTCCATTATATTTTCATTCCTCACTATTCGATAGAATTCCATTAATATAAAAAAAGAACTTGGTATTATACAAATTAACAAATGAATGGAAATTATAAAAAAAAAACGTCGTTGTGGAATAGGCCTCGTGTCAGATTTCACTCGTGGTAAGTCCGTGTGTGATAAGTCGTCTGTGCTGTGTGGTGAGTGGGTTTTCGAATCCCAAAGGGGACTCAATCAACCCCAAAAGTACTGTAATTTGCATTCTTTCATAAAGTGTAGTCCCATACATAACATATGTTATATTTAAGTGCAGTTGAAATTTATCACAAAAACAGATCGAAAAACACATTTCTGTATTATTTACATGATGACTATATTTGAAAACGTTAAATGATACTCCACGTTGATTGGTGGTTTTCTGAAGATTGTGACAAACAGTGCCTATGCCTTAACAATACTGACATATGTGACAAGATCACTGTTCTAGTGGTTGTTTCCCTGGGTATTATGGAACCGACTGCCAAATAGGTATGGTATGGAAATAGTTAGCATTTACGTGAAATTTGACAAAGGATCGCACATGCGTTTTAGGCTTGCACGAGTTTGTGAGTTAAGCAATTTATGTTTGTAAAATATGCCACTAAGCTGAATATTGTTTTCGTGCCTTGTGTTCGCAGCATGCCCAGATGGTTCCCATGGTATCAACTGTGCCTCACAATGTCGAAACTGCCTCAGTGATGTCAGCTGTAACAGGACAAATGGAGTCTGTCCTGGAGGATGTGCAGCAGGGTGGATGGATGACGACAAAAAGCCATGTATGCAGCGTGAGTAACTGAATCCTGTCCCCCGGCTCGGTGGATAAAACCTAACACGGGACGCATAAAAACCCATATGCCCTTCATCACTAGGGCTCTGACGGGTAGCAAAAGTTGGATTCGAGTATCCGGGGGATAAAACCCCATCCGGACTCGAGTCCCCGAAAATTATAGTATAAATTTTAGTGAGAGCTATGTGCGTGTCTTTGGACATGGTACGATATAACCACGATTCGGTGATTTGTCAAACTTTTTTGGGTTGTACCCCGGAAAAAAAATCCCTGCGTCAACGTGGTTTGCTTTTTGACAGGATTGTGGGGAGAATCGGCCACACTGACTGTTTTGTGTTTGATGTTAAGACGTTTTCTCATTGAGCTTGTTGCGCTCCCTGCAGAACTCAGCATAATGGCGCAAAGGCGACACTTGGCTTTGTGTTTTTAAGGGTCAAGATCAAAATGGACCAATACGTTCGACCTTTTCTCATCCGTGACTGCACACGTGGTCACGTTTAATTCAGAGTTATCTCCCTTTGTCGGGTACTCAAGTCCTGCCGTACCCAACCCATTGCCGGGTACTCGAGTATTCTTCAGAGCCCTATTCATCACAATGCAACAACGTATACTATGATGTCAGGCACAAACCTTTCATGCAAATTGTGTGAATGCTACCGAAAAGAAGTCACTGTTTACTCTCTTGTTCCTAATAGTAACAGTAATAGTCAGCTTATATGTAGCTCATATCCAGGCAAATTACCTGCTCACGGCGCTACGTACATTAAATAACTATCCCCGATCACAGGACACCATCGTACATTGATCAAACAAGGTTAATTTATGATGGGTGACGGTTTATCTTCTATATGAATCGTTTGTGTTTTGTAGATTATTCTCACATTTGTCTGATTCAGTGATCCTCACAGAGGAAAGATTCAACTAGGGAGTACCTTATTTGTTGCTGTGGCCACAGTGATTGGCGCAATCATTTACATCAAACGGTAATATTATGTGCACCTTTCATTGATACAACCACATGTTTTAATACCTTTAATTACAGCTCTATGCTGCCGCACCTGTCATATATTATACAGTCCTTGCCACGCACTGCTCCTTCACATTGTGTAATATAATTGTGCATACAACAATTAGCTCCGTATTTTAGTAGAGTCGTCAGTGCTTTACTTATAGGAGAATGTCCGAAATCTCGGGATTATTTTCGAAAATAATGGCTTGGTTGAGAACTTTCTCCTACTTAAAACAAAGTTTGATCAAGTGAATACTTCAAACAAGTATATTCACGTGCATCATGATGTGAACGACGTTGGACACAGTGGTGCTGTTAGTATGAGTGTGTATGATTCCGACATCGATGTGTTTGTTACACAACATAGTTTCAAAGACACTTTGTAGATCGACGTTAAGTTAGATGTAAAGATGTTATTAAATATTGATTCTGATTTAAATGGACTTCCAAACTGTGATGTACACACATGTGAGTTGACTGATGTCGAAGGTTTTTCCTCGGGTTTTGATACTGATCTGTACAAAGCGGGACAAGATACCTCAGGAATACCTCAATATTCACAGAACACTGAAAACAGGAGTATGTGGGCATTTCACATGTGTCAAGAGTGGGTGAAAAACTGCGTAAAAGATTCAGAAGAAATAATATGGTTTTAAACCCTGACATTGTGTCACTGGCTCAGAAAGAAATGGAACTAAGTTAAACCTTGATTTGTTTTCATAACCGAGGTCAGAAATCAGAAATACATCGAGAATATATCTCAACCAAACAGAAGCAGTGGAAAGTGACATACTTACTATTAATGCTATTTGTGATACATTTTATGACATAATTTATTTATGAATTGATACAATATAACTAAATATCTTTCATTAAGCGGACGCAGAACCCCAAAATCATCTGTTTCCATAAGCGACAATGCATTAATTCGTCCCTTCTTTGCAGAGGACATCCGCAGAGATGGAAGCTCGTGTTGATGGCGCCATTCAGAGAAATATAGTACAATTGCGTGCCCGGCTGTGTCGACAGTATCAGAAACGCCACCATCGACAACAACTGCTTCAGCCTTGACCAGTACCAATGAGAGTGATTACGGCACTGCTTCGAGAAATGAACGCGATTTTAAACTGTTTCTGAGGGACGGCGTTGTTCCGTCGCTAACATTCTGTGTTTGAGGATAAACTTTGTCATGCATGATTTAATCTCATATTATATGATGCAGGAGATAGTTCAGAATATGAGACACATTTCCTGTTGTCAGTTCTCTAGAGCAATTGTCACAAAAGGGATTTGTGAAAATCATGATGTATTTTGGGAGGGTCACCGCTCTTCTTTTACTATGGGAGGATAACCATTCGAAGACTAAGGGGCGATTTGATATTCATTCTTAAACTATTGTAGTGTGAGCAAAATGATTGAACGTATCCAAATGTCAACAACGTTCACTTAACTTATCGCTTCTGTTTGTAGATGAGTTGGCTCATGTACTAGAGCCTATTCTGGTAGAAATGTATCATGGTACTTATAAATGTGAGAAAATCAGGCTGAACGTTCAAACACCCACAGGGAATGCGAATTATGCAGTACATGGGGTCTTTGTAGTGGGCACATACGTTTTAAATTGTTGACCTCAACACAATCATACATATTTGGTGCCTCAGTCTCTCATAATGGAAGGAAAGGGACATTATCTATTATTCACGGTATTTTGTTCGTCAGATTGCTGAAATAACTGGAGAGGATTAAAGAACAAGACGTCAGAGGAACACTATGTGACACTTGACGAGTGAAAGTACATACGTACAGAAAGGACATACAAACATATCGACAATGCAACGCCTTACGATTACACAGTTGATTGTGTACAGGATGAAACAGAAACATGCGTGTGAACCTTTGACACTACACATTGTCATGTTTATGTATCAGCGTGAACTTAACTCACTGAGATGCCACACTACAGGCACAATCAGTCGGCCTGTCTTAGGTAGATTAGATTTGAAGATATTTGTAAACAAATGTCGAAAGTGTTTCTTTTTCGTTTGAAGATCTACATTTTTTCTCTGATTCTGACGAGCTTGTGACACAAAGTAAGTATTATGTCTATAATGAAAGAAGTCCATTGATATGGATTGACACAGCATATCTCATCTGACACGTACATGCTGTAACATTTGACTGCTCCAATGTTTTCGCCGTTTCAGACACGAAATCCACGTATCCGTCAAAAATAATAACGATGATACTCTTCTGTGACCATGAGTTTGTCTTGAATTTGTATATCAGTTTGGTCAATATTATGCCATTTCCATCCTGTATTTTGTGAAAACATGATACTGACTCTGTTTTATTTCTGTTGTTTCATTGTAAGACGTTTCGTTGCATTAAAGTATTGGGCACTAATGTGAAGTTTTGAGTTGATGGGATGCAATTATGGACTCGGATTCTGAAGGATCAGTATTTTTCTGGAGTTTAAGTCGTCAGTCATGTAAGGCACAATATTTCTGCATACACAAACGTCGAGGCCTTTCATTTAAAAAAACAAAACAAGGACCAATGGCTTGATTGAGAAGGCAATATTGAATGTTGAGTTATTCTCCTTGAAAGCTAAACTAAAAATCGGGGCTCTTGTGGTTACATGTAAGTACATTCCGACAATATCGGTATTAGAGAAACGGTCTCTCTCTCTCTCTCTCTCTCTCTCTCTCTCTCTCTCTCTCTCTCTCTCTCTCTCTCTCTCTCTCACTTTCAATCTCTGTCTCTCATGCTTGTCGTAAGAGGCGACTAACAGGATCGGGCGGTCAGGCAACCAGTTACAGTTATTCATTTCCTCTCAGTTCCATTTCACTTGACACCAGAGGCCGAAAACCTTAAAATCTAAGATATAAATAAAGTCCAGCAACCAGCCATATCATCATGTCTGATAGTTCTTCAGGAAATATCATCTATGAATTCCTGACAATATTTTCAATCGAGTTGTACGTGAAAATCGAGTGTTACACATAGCATTAATACAGGGAGTATATGAAACACATTCCCCATTTACAACAATGTATTGTTTCTGCGCGTCGACGTTCAATGATCTCTTATGTGCACACATATGTTCCGTTTCTAGTTTGTCAATATCCCATATTTCACTACCATGTAATAGGAATGGTTCACACACCCATAGGAAAACCTGAATTGCAAGTAATAAATATTTTTCTTGAATATAACGCCCAAATGCCATATATTAAACCTACCTGCTTTAACGATATATGGGGCTGTTTTGTGATAAGTCCGTGCGACTTGTAATGACAAGTGAGCCAGAAGTGTTTGAAGATGAGTATGTAGGTGTGTACTTGAATGACTCTGAGAGTAAAATTCTTTGTAGCCTACTACCTTTGGCCAAATAATGCAGACTGTTTTTTCTCTGGCTGTGAACGTTTATAGTTAATTAACCTATAAACAAAACAAATATTGTACTTGGGATTACAACTTATCAGTAGAGATTGTGGTACCTTTGGGAGTTTAGGACCATGTGGGATATCGAACAAATACTGTCAGGTTGAGGCACTTAATCGCCATTACACCAGGTCAGCAACCCAACCCAATACATCATCGAGGCTTCCATTGAAATCAGAGTCTGACAAATTCCTGCTTTCTCTACGTCCATACGGGTTGAAGACATTTGGTTCCTGATCCTTCAACCTCCAATCTGCTGATCTATGGAACTCTCTTTCCGTCACTTTAGATGCGCTACTTCCCTTCAAATCTGGCATAACGACCCATCTGTATAATAATCATCATCTGACAATTCTCCATCTTTTATTTCTATGCACTTAGAGTATGCCCTATTTGCTACTATATTTAGTAATACTGACTGAGTTTAGTTTTATGCCGCCTTTAGCAATATTCCAGCAATATCACGGCGGGGGACACCAGAAATAGGCTTGACACATTGTGCCCATGTGGGGAATCGAACCCGGGTCTTCGGCGTGACGAGCAAACGCTTTAACCACTAGGCTACCCCACCGCCCATATTTAGTTATAGGAGTAACATACAGTCTAGATCGTACACTCTCTGACAAGTGTGAATTGGCACGGCTCCAATGCCTTTCCGAAAATTATCAAGTGCATTATATATTACATTTGGGCTTACACCTTCTCTTGGGAGCTATTCACACTTGTCAGAGGAGTAAACGAAGTACACGAAAATGTCAATACATAGGCCTTTCTGTATGCCAACAATGTGCTGGTATTTCGATGTGCAATCTTACGGTAAGGTATACTAAAGACACAAAAGAGGAAGTGTGGCAACAATACACGTTAAATACAACAGTATAACTGATTTTTTTACTGTGCAGATCTTCCTGAAACATCGCACTGTAAAGGCTGTGAACAAAGAACGAACCATTTCAAGCGTAATTGTAAGGCCATTTGCGCCTTACATAAGTCGTATATAAAACATCCAACGGCTGCCTATTAAAGAGTAGATGTTATTCCGATTTGTGTTCAGTCAATTCGCGTGTCACGTCCAGCGATGACAACAGAACTCATAGAAGTTCCTGTGAACTTTAACGATTTGAAAGTAGAATGTTTACAACTGGTAATTATAATGTAATAGATTCACGATAAAAGATAAACGTGAAGCCTCGACACTGTTATTACAACCAGTTGATTCACCGTTGTGATATGTTTCATATTACATCTGACCTAACTGAAAGTCTGCTTTTCTGTGAGCAGATTCCTTTTATGTGTTACAGTATTATCCACACGTTTCAATCTTTAGGGTTAAGTTAGAATGTATGCAGACCCGTCAGTAATATAACAACTACTGAGTACGTTCATCTTTTGATGTTTGCACGATATAGAGTCACACAATAGTGACATGTGACTCTTGATTACTATGTGTTAGCATTGGTATATATGATAAGTGTAGCAGTAGTAGTTCTCGAAATTAGTGGGTGAGTGAGTGAGTTTAGTTTTACGTAGTTTTTAGCGACAAACCCAGCAATATCACGGGACACCAGAAATGGGCTTCACACATTGTGCCCATGTGGCGAATCCAACCCAGGTCTTCGGCGTGACAAGCTAACGCTTTAACCACTAGGCTACCCCAATTTCACCTCACCTTTTAGAATTTAACTAATAGCAATATTTGGTGTTGCAACAGTAATATCTGTAACAATAGCGGACGCAGTCGGTGTAGTAGTATATAGTAAGCCCGATGCAAAAAGAAGCTGACGATTTTGAGGATAAAATGTCGTTAAATTGGCAGGAGTGTTGGACGTTTGCAACAACGGAAAAGAACACCACCTGACACTTTTAACGGGCGTAGTTTAAGATCCTCAATGTCAATTTTACGTCTTATTGTGGCCATTAAGCAACGGCTCCCTCTACGGAGTAGCGGAAGTAGTAAAATGACTTCCCTCATATGTATGGATTGATGTTGGTGACAACTGTGTAGCCAATCGTGAAGGGTTAGATTCCCTTAAAACGATATATGCGACGGAGCATAATATTTTACATACGAAGTGTCCGTTTTTCTAAAATGTGGAAACCGCGACAATGGTTGAGGCTTACTTTTAACGTTTCTGATGATGCTAGTTTTTCAAGATATTATTTTACGGCAGATAAAAGGTGAAATGAATTGTTTTACATGCTATTGTTATCAGTTAAATACAATCTTTTGAAAGTTTAGTCCTGTTGAAGTTCCTGCTGTGGGTCTTAAAAAAAGCTTGTGTATTAATAGGCTTTATGTTTTGAACATCATATGTGTACAGACCTATGACTATGAGTACACTATCGCACCTTTGCTTAACCTGACACAGACTCCAAAGACCAAAGAAGTTGCATCACGCATGTGTGTTTGTTATCTAACGACGCACTCAAAATTCCAACTGCGTGGTGGCGGTCTGTAAATAACCTATTCTGGGCAGACAGTCCAGTGTTCAACAGCATGAGCATCGATCTACGCAACTGGGATACGGTGACATGTGTCAATCAAGTCAGCAAGTCTAACTATTAGTTAGTCGCCCAAAACAAACATGTGTTGCTGAAGACCAATTCTAAACCGGATCTTCGCGGATTTGCAGCATCCATACTTTGTAAGACTGGCGTGTAACCTTTATATGCTTACCTAATCCTAATCAATCAACCAGGTATATTTTAGAAAGTCGCTTGAGCTAACTATCCTGCAACCACCAGACGTTGCGACGTATGCGTACAGTGTGTGTGTGTGTGTGTGTGTGTGTGTGGTCTTCCACAC